AATAATTTTCATGCTATGAACATTTCATTGTACATGTCAAAATATATGAAGATCAATACTTAGTGTTTTGCGTAACTGACCGTTTTTTTTCATGCACATTTTTTATATTATTAGGAAAAAAATATTATGTTTGTATGTAGGTACATTTTATCAAGTTGATTTCGCTGTAAATTGAATTAAATTTGTATTAAAAAAAATTTTTTTCTAAATTTATGGTTTTTTAAAGTTTTTAATGGCGCCCCTGCTTTTTGTCACCCACTGCAAATGCATACTTTGCATATATGAACCGTCCGTCCCTGCCAACACCCAAGGAAATTTGCAGCATAAGCCAAATGATGGTTTAATTCAAACGATGAAACCTCAATTAGATTAACTACTATTAAAAATAGATACGAAACGTATATCTAGCAACCCTGCAGCGATTTCTGAAAAATGTCAGTAAATAAAATACAAATTGGTTCGTGAAGTGCTAATGACATTGTAAGTAGAAATCATAAATTAAAGATTTCTTTTAAAAGCATAAATATCGATGTATATCTGCTGTGGTGGTCGGTTGGAAAGCGACAGGGTAGACGTGGACTTTTCGGTTCTCTTGAAGCGTTCCAGCGTTGCAACGGTTTTGCTGCCACCAAGTGCTCATTATACCTCCTTGCGGTGACCAACGGGCAACAGAACAGAACGTGGCAGCATAATGAGTGCAGTACTGGTCATAGGGCTGACGGGTTCCTATACTGAATTCAAAGCTATCATGGAATCTGAAAAACAGCCTTGGAAATCGGATCGATCATCACGAAATAGACCACTAAAACGAAATAAGGATTATGATTTACAAATAGCGCATTGGAAAGTAAACACAATGCTACAGTCTGGCAAAATGACCGAAATTGCTGACGAATTAATTAAATATAACATAAAATAATAGCTGAATTTCAAGAAATAAGATGGAAAGGACAAGGAGATGTAAGAAAAAAACACTATTCTATTTACTACAGCGGTGAAAATCATGGTATGTATGGGACCGGCTTTTATATTAATATACTAGTTCGCAACAGTATTATACCTTTTGAGCCCATCAACAATCGAATGTGCGTACTGAAGATAAAGGGAAAATTTCAAAATATAACTGTAGTTGCGGTGTATGCTCACACAAATAATGCAAATGATGAAGGAAAGGATTTATTTTATGACGAACTATCAATAATATGTGACAGGACATCTAAACATGATGTATTCATTACGTACTGAAAAAAAATGAAAATGAAATACGTGTAGTAAATTTTGCTTTGGAAAATAATCTGTGGGTGAACAGTCAGTATTTCTTTTAAACATATACAGGTGCCTAAACATACTTTGAAAATACTTGGTGCAAGGACTAATATAGGAGTCCTTACTTGGTGGAAGGATAGGAGGCACTCATCCACAATATTGGATGTAAAATCATGCAGAGGAGGAAAATGGGACCAAGATCACTATTTAATAAGAGTAAAAATGAGACAACGGATATCAAATGAAACTGACAAAAACTGTTACAAACGTACAAAATAGAACACAAATAAATTATCAAATGATAGGGTTAAGGCAGAATACCAGTCATTGATTTTTGAAGAATTGGGAATTGGGATTTTGAGAATTGGGAAATTATTAAGGGGGCTATCAAAGATATTTCCAAAGATAATTTGGAAGTTTGAAATTATAAATTCGAAGAAGTGTCACAAATAAAATATTACTGTGTAATATTTTCAAGTATCAATGATTCCACTGATGCTATTAAACAAAGAATAAATGCGGCAAACAGATGTCTTTATATAAACGCAAAATTAATGCGATTTAGGTTACTTTCAAGAAAAAGTAAATTGAGTATTTACAAAACTTTAAGCAAATCTGTTCTTACTTATGGGTGTTAATGTTGGACAATGAAAAAACCTGAACGTAACCTACTGGCCACATTTGAAAGAAAAATCTTAAGAAAGATCTTATGAAACGATTGTTTAAATAAGTATATGAAATCTATTGATATGAGTATACTTATATATGAATATTTATCCTCAATAGAAGAGGATATGGAACAAGAAGTTGAGGTAGACCATATTAAACAATATAAATTATGTGTGCATGTGTATTTTTAAATATTTTTACATTTTGCGTATATACATATATTATATGAGACGATTTCACTTATGTATATGTAGGATTGAATGTGTACATCTGTATGAAATAATATTTTCTGTGCATAGGCATAATATACGAATTTATTCTAGTATGTAAAAGCAAAAATTAATAAAGTTGGGTCAAACCAATGGTTTGTATTCTAGCACTTTTCCCTTCAACAAGTGAAAATTCTGCTTTTAAATATAGTCTAGGTATACCTATCACACTATTAAAATTATTTTCATTCGTATACAAAACTATTCCTAGAATTGCATATATTTAGGATGATGCATATATGCAGTCTTTGAAATAAAGCAAAAATTAATATAAAGTGGGGTAAACATAATGCTCGATTTTAAGGTTTAATTATGTGAGTTAAGAAAAATAATTATATTTTCTAATGTTATGGAATTTACCTTTAACTTTTTGTGTTTATAGAAATTTGAATTTGAAGAAATTATAGAAAGCTTGCGGCTTCGGAAATATAGGGTATCAAAAATTCAAATTTTACAAATTTCTTTCTTTCAAAAATCTGTTCTTACTTATGGGTGTGAATGTTGGATAATGAAAAAACCTGAACGTAACCTACTGGCCACATTTGAAAGAAAAATCTTAAGAAAGATCTTATGAAACGATTGTTTAAATAACTATATGAAATCTATTGATATGAGTATACTTATATATGAATATTTATCCTCAATAGAAGAGGATATGGAACAAGAAGTTGAGGTAGACCCAGAATGTGGTGGTTGGATTCTGTACTCGACGACGTAAAAGCAATGAACGTGAGCAACTACATAACAACCGCAAAAGATCGAGACGTTTGGAAGGGGATAGTAAAGGTGGTCCACAGGGACTGTAACGCAGTGAAAGAAGAAGTATGTCTGTTGTGTGTTGCCAGATGAATGTAAAAGAAAGAATGAATAAGTAGTTAATAATAAGAAAGAATGATTATGGTTAAAATTAAGGTTATAAATTCTCCTAAGCAGAACTTTGATGTTGTTTCATCATATAACATATTTCGACGGAGATGTAATATAAAAATAATTTTTTTTAAACATGGAAATAGCTTTTTACAAGGAGTTGATGATAACGCTCTAGAGTGACTTAAACCAGGGGTGAGAAGTAAGGAAAGTTATTCAGGAATTGGGATGTTGCTATCATTCTATTTAATATTCGACTTTTTAGCACATAGATGCTAATAAAATTCTGAATCTTATTAACTTTTTTGGAAAAAATTTGACTTAAATTTAGATTATTTTGCTGTCTTATTAAACCTTAGTGAGAAAGCTAAGTGAGCAAACCTATTTTTATTAACAGATCTGCAGATTGATTAAGCTTCAAACTTGAAATTATTAGAAATAGAAATGTGAATCCTGAACTATAGACTAACGGTCTCTTAGATTCTGAATTCTGAAAACGCTTCTCTAAATTCTAACCAAACAAGAAGGCAGAGGCTGTAATGGCAAGAGTCACGTCACCCAGACAATAAAACGATTGTGAACAGATTTTCTCAAATAAAAAAGTAATCATTCGTTGTGGAAAACAACGAGGAGTACTAAAAAACCGATGAAGTGAATTCCACCAATTAAAAATTATAGGTATCATAGACAGAAAACGATACATGTAAAGTTCATTTATTTAGTGCTTGTTTAGTACACAATTTTGTATTAGATGAAAATACCATAGCTCTATTTACACAAGTCCTGTTTGGAAAGTAGTGGAGGTTATTCTGAAAAAAAAAAACGGAGAAACCCTCAAATGCGGCAAAGTCATATAGCCCCATATCCATCCTACCAATAATATCAAATCAAAACCAACAACGGAAAAAAGGAAATTGATTCCAAAACTTTGGATGTCAAGTTCAGATGAAGAGAAAGAAAGCAGAAAAAAAAGAATTATAAAAGTAATACAGGGAGATTTATGGGGTCTTAGGTCGTAAGTCTGAATTGGCAACAAAGTATTGACGAATAACTATAAAACAAAACCTAGATGAACATATGGTATACATCTATGAGGTTGCGCCAAGCAAGCACATATCAAGCAAATACAATCATTTGGAACAGGGTGCTGCTTAGTATGTGCGCTAGTGACAGTCATAGGAATTTAGGTGTCGCGGAAAAAAATGAAAAAGTAAGAAACAGCGCTAAACATAGGGTGTGTTTGGAGTAGCATGTAAATATTAGGATTTTTCGCCCTGTAGAGAATAGTGTAAGGACAGAAAGACTGACACGAATGAGATCTCTCGAATTAGGTTCAAGTGCTATGACAGCACTTCCATCATGAAATATAGACACAAAAACACGCTAGAGCCATTTGGCTAGTTTTAGGAAGTTATGATCACTGGGGTGCGTTTAAGGTTGAGTTAAAACCACTCGCTATTGATAGGTCTGACAACGAGTTCAGCCCGCCTATCTTTGCATCTGTACCATTTTTCACACCGGTTTAAACAAAAACAAAATAAAAACTCAACCTTTCGTTGACTGCAGATGCGTTTCAATTTAACCTTTGACTGCTAATTTCGGAGGGCTAGAACTGCAGTCAGTAAATTGGTAGAGTTTGTTTTGAATACCACAAATGTTACTAAGTTTCTCTCGTTGAAACAAGTCTGCTACAATTAAATATGTATGCCGCATGGATGAAAAGGTTTTGAGACGGGTTTATCTTAAAAATGATCTTGATATAAATTTTTATGTAATATCTTTATAAAATAAAAGATTAAAACTTTGAAGTCTTGGGGTCTTTAGTCCCGGATTCTAAATTCTCCACAGTAGGAAATCGTCAAAATATTTAGGAATTTTAAGAAAAATAACTTAAAAAATGTAAAATCAGTCTGTAATTAGTTTATTAAATATTGTATAAATATTATTTGTTTATATTAGGTTAAATGAGTAATTATAAAATAATCGTTTTTTCAAATTATAAAAATATATAAATCATAAATCACACATTCATACATGTATAACATATATTCCAAATACATATTTTGCTAATGTTCATACTTTAGCTAGTTATCAACCCAATAAACTCTAAACTCCTAAATTTTATTAATTTACAAATTAATCGAATCAATTTGAGCTATTCGCACTGCTTCACGAATAGCTTGTGCAACTTTATTTTGATCTGTTAAAACGGTGCAATATTATTGTATACATATGAAGTTCATTCGTTAAGAGTTCTAGAGCATTCCAGGGATATGCAATTAACACCTATTTCTGTACATCTGCATTCTAAACAAGAATTTGACAATTCTGAAATTATTCTTCCTACACGGTACATGCGACCATATATATTGCAACCGGCTAATTTTAAAATGCCTGATGGATCATTAACGCTATTTGTATGTTCAGGTTTAGAGTATATTTGAGCTTGTACGTTGCTTTCTTTCTGTTGCTGCTGTCGTTTTTTCAGTTCTTCGATATTGACTGGGTTTACAATATATGAATCTAAGTTGGGAAGATAGGTTTTATTTTGCGGGGTTTTGTATGATTCTACAGTAAACAGCTCTTTTTGCATTTGTGTAAATGTTAAATGTATGTTATTGTCCGAGTTTTTGCTTTGTGAAAGTTTTTTGATAGGATAACTAGGAATTAAACTCGGTAAACCTTTGAAAGGATCTGACATCAAGCTAGAATTTGAAACAAAAGAAGAATTATTATCGTTTTTATAAACAGACCCATTTGTGTTTGGGAAAGGAAAAGGACGATGTAGTTTCGGTTTATATAATTCAGATTCTCCAATGTTTTCTTTATTTTTTAAATCTGTCGAATTGTTTTTATAAACATGATTTTGTTGTTTCATCATTATATCAGATTGGAGTTGCTGGTTTGTTACTTCTGAATTAATGCTTGTTAGTAACTGCATGCTTGGTGGTATGACCTTAAATGGTGGAATGCCGGTTGTTGTTAAATTCAGCTTAGAGTTGCTGTTTACTCCTAAAAAGTAATCTAAAAAACTTTCAATACCAGTGCTATCACTATTAAGGCAATTTTCATCGGTCACCATATCGACATTATCGAAAGTTAGATTATTAACTTTTTTGTAAGTAACATGTTTATCAAGAGGAAAATCTTCCACTAGGATGTCATTTTCTAGGAACTGAATATTCACATTACCATCAACATTTGGACTTACGTCAAACATGTGGTGTGACGTATTTTTGTGGCGCTCCATTTGAGATATGTCGGACATATTGTTATTTTTCTCGGGCAAGCTACTGTTGTCGTGACGATCTAATGGAAAACTTTCCATTAGTACGTTATTATTCTCAGCGATGCTCAAATTCTCAAAGTTGACGTTACTGAATTGAATAACATTATTTTGTTTGGAATCTATATCATAATTATAAGTAGCATCAGTTGTTATATGAACAATTTCCTTATCATTATATATTTTTGAGTTTTTACTAACAAGTCGTTTTTCTTTATCTTCAATCAATAAATCAAGATCTGGAGGTGGTTCGGTCTTAATGACGTCTTTGAACGGATCTATTGAAGTGATTGCTGAAATTATGTTTATACAAATAAATATATCATCAAAAAAGGTGAAGTCATACCTATAGGAGTTTCATTATCAATTTGATATTCAACATTTTTTGTAAAGCTTTGGGGTGGTGTTGTGGTTCTTAACTCAGTAATTAGTTTTGTATCATAATACAAACTCCCATCAACTATTGGTTGCTTTGGAACAAAACCGCCCTCGATTTCCCTGGGCGGTGAAAATTTATTGCGATTTACTTCGTTGAATCTATCATCTTTTGAACTTATATATGGTGAAGATGATAAGCTGCCTGAATTTTCAAAAGGTCTTACGTTATCTACCAAATCGGACCACATATTCTCATCGCTCTTATGTTGTTCTGTAATAGTGGAGAAAGTGGGAAAAGTGGGAATATTTTCCTTTAAAGGAAGTGCATCAATAGGCAAAAAGGGAATAATTTCAAGATTTGGAAGACTAGGTGGTAAGGTTTCGCGATCATATTCCTCATTTGCTACAAGCATATTCAAATTTACTGATTTATTAGACGGAAAAGTAGATTCAACTTTTGTCGTTGGTCTTAACAATATAAAATTAGGTGAACTGGTTTTCTCTGTTGCAAATATTGGTTGCGAACCCACATTTATAGAACTCATTACCGTTTTAAATTTTGTCACCGTTGAATTTGACTTAACCACAATTGGCTCTGAGTTTAAAGCCGTGCTTGTTTTATTTAAAATGTGATTTAAATTTTCGTTTATGATTATTTTTTTGAAAGGCGGAATTCTTAATAAATCCTTTTTTGGCTCGTTGTTTCTTTCAATAACAGTTTTGTTGGCTTTATGGATTTCGTAACTGTTGATAGCTTCATTTCCATTGATAAAGCTCGCGTTTGAAGTTTTTCTTATAAGTAATTGAAGTTCATCTATGACTGTTGACAAAAATGAAATTTGTGGTTTGCTTTCTAGTTTAATTGGTGTTACTTCAGTACCATTAACTTTTTTTGTAATAGCAATATTTAATTGACTTTTAGTTGTAGATGACTCATTAAAAATTTCCTGTTTTTTAGTTTGAATTGGTTCTGTGAATGATATCACTTTTTTGGTTGGGTTGAAAATGGATTTTGTAACTAAGGTTTTCGCACCCGTTGTTTTTTGTTCAGAAATATCTGCCATTTTCATTTGTGATGGGGTAGTCGTTTTATAAAATGGGATGTTATTTTTAGTGGGGAATACTTCTTCCATAAAAGATTCATCGTTTGAAATTGAATCAACTTCACCGTCTTCCATTGAATAATTTTCATGAGGTGTCGTATTTAAATTTTCTTTTGCACTTTGAAAATAATTTCCTTCATTATTGTTATAAAAGTGTTCATTTAGTTGCATAGCATCTTCATGTTTTAATTTAAAAGTAGTTGTCTCGCTGGGGTTGTCATATATTTCGCTTCTAAGCTCAATATTGTCAGTAGTTGATAAATTTGATTCGCTTTCTAAACCATCCTCAATTTTGTGATTTTCATTTTCAATGTTAGAGTCCGAGACACTGATATAATCATATGTTTCATTATCATTGAAAAGCCCGAAATAATCAAAAATAGGTTCAGTTTCATTCAAATTTTCTTTTTCGCTCGTAGTTAAATTCTTTTCGGTTTTCCCTAGAAATATATCAAAAAAATTTATACCATCGTAGTCTTTATAATCTTCGTCTAACTCTTCTTTGAACAAAGAAGGAACTAAAGTGGAGCTTGTTGTTGTTGCAGCACTTGTTTCATTCAAATCTAGTCCAGTTACATTTGTAACAGTTTGTAAAAATAAATCAAACAAATTAATGTCGCCTTCATGGTCTTCAGATTTGACATTATAAATTGTAACTGGGCTATTGCTACTAGATAGGTTGCTCGGATTTCGGTCCTTCAATAAATTGTCATAGAAAATATTTGTTGTTGAAAATTCAGTGATACTGGAAGTTCCGTTTGTTTTCGTTATGTTATTGAAGTCAGTGTTCGCTTTTGAATCTATAATTTGAAGTCCTTCTCCAATCACATCAATAACACTTTTCTCGGTTGTTTGTTTCAGTAAAGTTTTTTTAGGTATACCTAACTCAGTGAAGTTATTTAGATCTTTCTGAGATTCTAAAATCCAAGACAATAAATCAATTTGCCTTGATCGATGCGTACGGTCCCATTCACGTGTTGAAGGACTACAATCATAGCTTGAAGGGCAACATTGTCCTTTTGGAATAATTGGGATACAACTTTGCAGAAATGGAGCGCACTTTTTAGGAGCACATTTTCTTTTCCCTTTTATACAGAAACATATATAACATGGTTTATCATTGTCAGAGGGCGTTTTTTGTCCTTCCAGATAAAAATTGTTTCCGTAATGGCAACCACGGTTTCGTTGCAGTCTTTGCGACATTCTCTGGTAATGCTTGTTGTTAGATGTCTTTGTCTTGTTTCCATATAGCCAAGATTTGCCGCCAGCTGATTTGTATGAACAGTCGTACCTTACGGGGCAGCAAGTTGAAGCAACAAATACGGGCTTACAGTCTCCAAGAGAAAGCATACATTTTGGTTTGACACATTTCTGTTGACCTCCTGAATAAATAAAAGAATTAATTGGCATTTCGACAAGTAGATAAATTTACTCTATAAAATTTCTTACCAATGCAATAACAATATGAACATAAACTTGAGGATGACATAGCTGAACCAGCTTTATATATTGTTCCTTTTTTTACGCAAACTAAAAAAAATTTCAAAACCATTAAATATATAAATGCAGAACAAATAACAAAAACTTACTGTCCCGAATACCATAAAGATCTTTATCATCCGACCGCTTTTGCAAAAAATTGTCGTTCACAACTCTATCAATACCTTCTCTTTCATAAGAATCTAAATAAGATGTAATTCTTTGACTTAATGCATTATTATATTTATCGTGAAGCTTCAAACATGACAAATATGGACAACAATTATTTTTCTTCTGAATAAGAATACAACCCCGTGGGGGTGGTACTGGCATTTCTGAGCAAATTTTCAAACTGCATATCAAAGTTCTTGTATTACATTTGCAGTTTAAACATGGCTGTAGTGTTGGCACGAAAGATCCATCAGCGTACAATGTACCATTATGATAGCATCCTATTAAAAAAAAATGTAAACTATTGGTAAAAATGCAAAAAAATGTACAAATAAAATCTTAACAATAAGAGCGCAATCTCATGTTAATGAGTTTGCATGCGTTTTAAATATTTAGATTTTCAATATTCAAAATTAAGTTTTCAATAATAATAATAAGTAAAAAACAATAATACGTAATGAATAATAAATTATAAATAATAAAAAATTAATAATAAATAACAAATAATAAATAATAAAAATAAAATAATAAATGATAAATAATAAAAGAAAAAAATAAGCAATAAATAATAAAAAATAAATAACAAATAATAAATAATAAATAATAAATTATAAATAAAAAATATTAAATAGTAAAAAATGAATAAAAAATAAAAAATAATAAATAATAAATAACACATATTAAATAACAAATAATAAATAATAAATAATATATAATAAAAAATAAAGAACAAATAATAAATAACAAATAATAAATAATAAATAAAAAATTATAAATAATAAGCAAAAAATAATAAATAATATGTAATAAATAATAAAAAATAAATAATAAATAATAAATAATAAACAAGAAATAATAAATAATACATAATAAATAATAAATAATAAATAATAAATAATAAATAATAAATAATAAATAATAAATAATAAATAATAAATAATAAATAATAAATAATAAATAATAAATAATAAATATTGAATAATAAATAATAAATAATAAATAATAAATAACAAATAATAAATAATAAAAAATTATTAACAAATAATAAATACTAAATAATAAATAATCTATAATAAATAATGAAAAATAAAGAACAAACAATAAATAACAAATAATAAATAATAAAAAAAAAAAATAAATAATAAATAAAAAATAAAAAATAATATATAATAAATAATAAAAAATTAATAATAAATAATAAATAATAAACAAGAAATAATAAATAATGCATAATAAATAATAAATAATAAATAACACATATTAAATAACAAATAATAAATAATAAATAATATATAATAAAAAATAAAGAACAAATAATAAATAACAAATAATAAATAATAAATAAAAAATTATAAATAATAAGCAAAAAATAATAAATAATATGTAATAAATAATAAAAAATAAATAATAAATAATAAATAACAAACAAGAAATAATAAATAATACATAATAAATAATAAATAATAAATAATAAATAATAAATAATAAATAATAAATAATAAATAATAAATAATAAATAATAAATAATAAATAATAAATAATAAATAATAAATAATAAATAATAAATAATAAATAATAAATAATAAATAATAAATAATAAATAATAAATAATAAATAATAAATAATAAATAATAAATAATAAATAATAAATAATAAATAATAAATATTGAATAATAAATAATAAATAATAAATAACAAATAATAAATAATAAAAAATTATTAACAAATTATAAATACTAAATAATAAATAATCTATAATAAATAATGAAAAATAAAGAACAAACAATAAATAACAAATAATAAATAATAAAAAAAAAAATAAATAATAAATAAAAAATAATAAATAATAAATAATAAATAATAAATATTGAATAATAAATAATAAATAATAAATAATAAATAATAAATAACAAATAATAAATAATAAAAAATTATTAACAAATAATAAATACTAAATAATAAATAATCTATAATAAATAATGAAAAATAAAGAACAAACAATAAATAACAAATAATAAATAATAAAAAATAAATAACAAATAATAAATAACAAACAGTAAATAATAAATAATAAACAGTAAATAATAAATGATAAACAGTAAATAATAAATAATAAATAAAGAATAACAAATAATAAATAATAAATAACACATATTAAATAATAAATAATGTCTGACCATTGGTGCAGTGGTTATGGCACCGGTCCTTTAACCGAAGGGTCTCGGGTTCAAACCCCGGTCAGGTCTAAATAAAAATTAAACTATAAAAATTATATTCAATATTATTATAACTTAATATACAATACTAATAAAAATATTATACAAGTAATTTTCCAATATTCCTAATATTCGATATTAAAAAAAAACTAAGAAAAATAAATAGTAAATATTAATAACCTCAAATAATTAATATATGAATAAAAACTACGGCAGGCTAGTCACCTACCTAGTTAAACCCTATGACGCTATGAAACTAGTGCATGAGAAATCATGCACTAGCCCTATGCTCCTTCTAGGAGTGAACAAATGGAAAAAAAAAAAAAATAATAAATAATAAATAACATATATCAAATAATAAATAATGAATAATAAATAATAAATAATAAATAATAAATAATAAATAAGAAATAATAAATAATAAATAATAAATAATAAATAATAAATAATAAATAATAAATAATAAATAATAAATAATAAATAATAAATAATAAATAATAAATAATAAATAATAAATAATAAATAATAAATAATAAATAATAAATAATAAATAATAAATAATAAACAATAAATAATAAATATTAAATAAAAAATAATGTTGGAAATATAGAAGAAGAAAACACGTTTTTACTCTTGAGAGTGTTATTGAGAAGTAAAATAATATATACATATATTCATAGTTCAATATATTCATAGTTTTTATAACTGTTTAATATTTAAGTCAATTTAATATTCATCAAATAGAAAGGAATAATTATATATAACTTAAATATGATGTTAGCAAAATGTTATTGCTTTCGTCAGTATATCTGCAGGCATGTCTGTAGTTTTTAAATACTTGATAACAACATTTTTGTTTGCTACAGCATCCCTAATAAAATGGTGACGTATGTCTATGTGTTTATTATGATTGTTTATAATGTTATTTACTGCCATTAATTGAGCACTTTTATTGTCGTTAAATATAGTTACTGGTTGAGTGATTTGAAAATCAATTTCTTGTAAAAGTTCTCTTAAATAAATAGATTCCTTTGTTGCTTCTGTTAATGAAAGATATTCAGCCTCCGTACTAGAAAGTGCTATTGTCTTTTGCTTGCGGCTATCCCAGGATATAGGTGCGCCTGATAATTTAAAAATATATCCTGTGAACAATTTTCTGTCGTCTATGTTTGAGCCCCAGTCGGCATCAGTGTAACCTATCAAGGTTTTGTTATCATAAGTATATCTTAGGCCGTAATGTTTCGTCCCTTTAATATATCTTAAAATTCTTTTTGTTGCTATCCAGTGTTTTCTACCAAAGTTATTATTAAACTGACTCAGCATGTAAAATATCTGGTCTCGTCGTTATTGCTAAAAATAAGAATGAACCAATCAACTCTTGGTACGGCACTTTGGCAACCTCTTCTTTTTCTCTTTCATTTTTTGGACACATTTCTTTACATAATTTTACATTTTGTTCTAGAGGTGTTCTAATTGGATTACAGTTTGTCATATTAAATCTTTCTAATATTTTTTCTGTATATTTTCTCTGCGTTAATATAATATTACCACTTGATTTTTGTTCAATTTCAATTCCCAAACAATATTTTGCCAAACCAATATACTTAATTTCAAAATCTTTTGCAAGTTTTTCTTTAAACCACTTGACTAAATTTTCATTATTTGTAGCTACAAGTATATCATCTACATATATCAGTACAATTAATTTAAAATTTCCAAAATTTATCTTATATAAGCATGGTTCTGTTTTTAGTTGCGAGAAACCACAATCTAATAATTTTGCTTTTAATTTACTATTCCAAGCTTTACCGCTTTGCTTTAGTCCATATATTGCCTTATTTAATTTTAAAATTTTATTTTTATTTAAATTCAAATTTGATAATCTTTCATAATATTCTGGTATATCCATATAAATTGTTTCTTGCAAGGATGCATTTAAATATGCAGTTACAACATCAAATTGATATAATTTTAAATTCCATTTAGCTGAAATTGCTGCTAGTATTCTCATTGATTTCATTTTTGCTACAGGGGCATATGTTTCACTAAAATTAAAGCCTTTAATTTGAGAGTAGCCTTTAGCTACGAGTCTTGCTTTTCGTTTAATCAATTTTCTACTTTCATCAGTTTTTTCAGTAAAACCCCTTTTGCAGCCTACAGGTTTCATATCATCTTTACGGTCAGCAATAATCCATGTGTTATTTTTCTTATGGGATTCTAATTCACGTTTTATAGCATTTTCCCATTCATCCCTATATGAACTTTTTTCAATATCTAAAATGGTTTCTGAAGCGTTTTCACAAGTAATTAAAATATCTTCATCTGGAGTTTCATAGTTTTCTTCGTTTTCTTCCCTTGCATTATCCTTTTTTATGTCTAAATTAGTTTTGTTCTGTCTATATACCTTTCTTGGTCTACCTTTTGCACCAGTTTTTATTAATTTTGGACGACCTTTAGCTCTTATATTTCTATTTTTTTCGATCTCATTTTGCTCTTTTACATTTTCTTGCATTTTTTCCTTTTCTTCAAAATTTTCTGTCTGAATTTCTGAATTTTCTGATTTAATAACTTCTGATAGTTCACTATTTTTATTACCAATCTCATTTTCATCCTTTTCATTTATTTCTAAATTTTCATTTCCTCTTTTTAAAATTGTAAAATTTGTATTATTATCTGGTTCAGTTCCTAATTCATTTACAACAACAATATCTCTACTTTTAATTACACTACGATTATTTTTGTTCCAAAGTCTATACGTTTTCGAATTTTCATCATATCCCAATAAATAATGTGGAGTTGATCTTGCTTCTAATTTGCCTTTAGATGGTATTTTATTTAATACATACGCTAAAGATCCAAAAGATTTAAAATAAACAATGTTTGGACTTCTTGTATTCAAAAATTTATATGGTATATCTCCATTCAGACTGTCAGAAGGACAACGATTCCGAATATGGTTTGCTGTTGCTATAGCTCCAGCCCATAAATATTTTAGGAGTTCAGATTGAAGCAAAAGACATCTGGCCATATCTAAAAGTGTTCGATTTTTTCTTTCTGAAATTCCATTCTGTTGAGGAGAATAAACAGCAGTTGTTTCGTGTTTTATACCATGTTCTTTTAAAAAATTACAAAACTGAAAATTGACGTACTCTGTACCATTGTCCGTTCTGAGCCTTTTTATCTTTTCTCCAATATGCAATTCCACTTTTCTTTTAAAGTCTTTAAATTTATTTAAACTTTCCGATTTTTGTTTCATAAAGTAAATTTCTGTCCACCGGGTTGAATCGTCTGTAAAAGTTATAAAATATTTCGCACCCCCCCATAGAAGTAATATTTAAAGGTCCACATACATCACTGTGTATAAGTTCTAGAGGTTTTCTTTTATAATAATTATTATTAGATATAAATGGGCGTCTACATTGTTTGGCCTGTAGGCATATCTCACAAGATGTGGGTGCTATATTATTTATTATATTTTCCTTAATTCCGAAGACTTTTTTGTTTTTAATAATTTTAATTAAAGATTTATAATTTGAGTAACCGTATTTGTAATGCCACAATTTAAGCAAATTTTCACTCTTAGCGAAATTCACCTCATGATATTTATCAAAATAAATTTCATATAAATCATCTACTCTTATTGCTTTTAAAACGACCTTAATTATTGTTCACTATTACAGCTTTATCCGCAAAAAATTTGACGATGAAACCGTTTTTAGTTATCTTGCTTACTGACAATAAATTTTTTCTGACTTTCGGCACATAAAATACATCGTTTGAATTTATAATTTGGTTGCTATTAGCTTTTAATTTAATAGTTTCCTAACCCTACATCCTACTACAGCATCACTTGCAAGATTGATTTTAGAATTACGATTATTATATAACTTTTGAAACATACTTTTATCTTTACAGACGTGTGATGATGCACCAGAATCTAATACCCATTTATCATTAAATTTTTCCACATAAAAAATATTCTCATTGCGATATCACACTCCAAATTATTTTTGGTTTCAATATTGAAAACAGATTCATGTGCGATAGACAGACTACCTTTGTTCTTAAATTTTTCTCTACATTCATTAGCTTTATGGCCTGATTTTTTACATATATAACAAATTACCTTTTTTCTGAAAAATTTTTTCCTATCATAATCATTTTTATCAAACGTTTCTTTAAGTAGTTTTTGTTGTTTCATGTAAAGTACTTCTGACTTTGTTTCATTTTCTATAGATACATTTGCAGCTCTTGCATCACTTTCTTCCATTATTTTAATTTTTAATACATCTGGTTTTGGCAAAATATCTCGCGATTCAATGGCAATTCTAAATCCCTCATACTGTTCCGGCAAACTGTATAATAAAAGCACTGACAGCAAATCATCGTCAACAATCATATCAATTGATTTCAATTTATCTACAAGATCGAAAAATTTACATAAGTGCTCGTTTACCGAATTATTACCTGTTAATTTTGTCATTATTAATTTTAAGTAACGTTGCTCCTTGCTGGATCTTTCGATTCACATAAATTTTTCAACTTTACCCATACTTCATGTGATGTTCCACAGTCTTTTATTTCTTTCAGAAAAGATGAATGGATATTTAGTATCAAATCAGCCACGTGTCATAATTATCAGTTGTTAAAATATCAATTTTTATCGCATTATTAAAAGCCATCTTACAAAAATATTTGTTTTAAATAATCGCGAGATTGTTTATTTATATTATTTTGTCAAAAACAAATTTAAATATTCATCGATTGCTTGAATATTTTAAGATTAAAAAAATACTGTATTTTAATTTTGCTTCTGAAGTATCGTTCTTCTATTCTGGGCCCATAACCCTTGTTGGAAATATAGAAGAAGAAAACACGTCTTTATTCTTGAGAGTTTTATTGAGAAGTAAAATAATATATACATATATTCATAGTTAAATATATTCATAGTTTTTATAACTGTTTAATATCTAAGTCAATTTAATATTCATCAAATAGAAAGGGATAATTATATATAACTTAAATAATAAAATAAGAGATGAGTAATGAGCCTTGGAACTGTCCACAATGTCCACCAGAACATAATGACACTCTCGTGATTATAGACGGCCAGGATAATGTGTCCGAACATGCAGGTGACTTAGAAACTGATGAATCTGCACAGGTATCCGATTCAATTCAAGAAATTGTCTCCTTTGATTTGACTAATTGTAGCTTAGATAAAGTTGCTACATTTTTAAAAACTTTATCTACAATTATAATAGATATTAGAAGGTCGCAACAATTTCAATCTCAACAGCTTGATAGTGCTCTTAGACAAAAACAGGAGTTCGAAAAGGAAAATAAAGAATTGAAAAAACGCATTGAATCTATTGAGTCAAATAACCAAAAATTGGAGGAAAAAATTTACAAAATGGAAGGTCTTCTTGACAAACCGAATCAAGATCAAGTAAAAAACAATGTAATATTGGCTGGATTGCCCAGCAATTTAAATGATGCAAAAAGTGTTGTGTTGAAAATGGCGAAAAAAATTCAGGCGAACATTGATAAAAAGGATATTTTAGACGTTAAGCCTTTGTCATCAAATCAACCAAAACAAGTAAAAACGTTTTAGTCGGTATAAACCGATTGAATTATACCCTGCACCTTTCGTTATTGTGTAGCAATTACTCGAACCTGTGAAATCATTCTATAGAAACTTCACGGATATGTCTGACCTATAATTGGACACCCGACTGCCAAGTTTCATGAATCTGACTTTATTATTTTTCCAAATATTTAAAGTTAGCTTTTTGAGTTGCATGGCAAGTACCTGAACCTGTCAAACAATTCCACTAAAACTTCACAAATATATCTGATCTGATACTTGGACACACAACTGCCAAATTCATGAATCTGACTTTATTATTTTTCCAAATATTTAGAATAAGCTTTTGGACTTGTATGGGAGCTGCTCGAACCTGTAAAGCAATTCCATCAAAACTTCAGAAATATGTCTGACATATAATTGGACACACGACTGCAAAGTCTCTTGAATCTGACTTTATTATTTTTCCAAATATTTTAAGTTAGCTTTTGGAGTTGTATGGCAGGTACCCGAACCTGTCAAACAATTCCTGTAAAGCTTCAGAAATGTATCTGGCCTATAATTGGACACATGATTGCCAAGTTTCATGAATCTGACTTTATTATTTTTCCGAATATAAAAAATTTGCTGTTGGTGTTGTATGGCAGCCACCCGAACCGGTGCAGCTATCTATATTATATTTTACAAGATTTTTCCAGTTCATAAACAGGTATACATATAATCTAATAAATAACAAAAACAAAAAAATGAAAATAGCAAAAGAGAATACTGGGTAGATACATTACTCAATTGATTATACATACTGTAAAACAAAAACAAAAAATGAAAAGCGAAAAGTGAAAGAGAATAAAAAAAGAGTAGTAATATTTTTTTTTGTTTTTTTGCTTTACTACCATAAACAAAATTAAAAGGAAAAGGAAGCGAAAAATTTTAAATGAGTTAAGTAAGAGTAAAATAATTTTTTGTTGTTGTATTTAACATGGAATGGAATTAAAAAAAATAAAACTAAAAATTGTGAGAGACATAAGAACACGAATAACGTTACGTTACGTACTTATCTAGATAACGTTGTTTATAAGGAAATTTTTCGTTCTTAATTGTTAACTAATTCTTAATTTGAATTTTAATCATATCTATGTAACTAACAGTGACACATATTACATCTTAAAATTTATTAAATTTAAAATATTTCCATTACTTTTATTTATCATTAGTATTCAAACCAATATGATATTTATGCATATACAAGTATATACCTGCATATGTATGCCATAATATGTACAAATTTTTCTAAACTTATTTTAAAATTGATTGCCACAATCTTGTTTTTACAACAGATAATGCTGCTTATAAGCAAACCACAGGGGCCCCCAGTCCCATTATAATTTTTAGAGCATGTATAGAATATAATTGGACAAACGTATACAAAATTTTATATTTATAGCTTTATTAGTTTTTGAAATATTTAAAATAAACTCTTGGAGTTGTATGGCAGCTACCCGAACCCGTTGTCCGAATTAGTCCAATAACAATAGGGTTCGTCCTTGGCACAAAAGAAAAAACTTGTGAAAGTTTGGTGTCGATTGCATTATTCGTTTTTGAGTTATCGTGCGATCGGACGGACGGACGGACATGTCTAAATCGACGCAGAATTTTACGCTGAGCAAGAATATATATATATGTCCATACCGCAGATGACTCCTTCAAGTAGTTACAAACTCCATACCAAAGTTAATATACCCTTCACGAAGTGCAGGGTATAAAAATCAACCAATCTGTATATCTTACGTTTTAAAACAATAAAAGCAAAAACTGAATTTATGAGTAAGAAGAAATTACACAAGCATTTACTGACTGCTGAATTGGAATTGGGCAATATTGAAAACAAAGAAATTTTTGTTAGGCACCACTTAACTTCGTTACAAACTTATTTGCTTCATGAAGCAAAGAAGCTAAAACAATTACATAACTTTCGCTTCTTATGGGTCAACGATGGACCAATTTTTCTTCGAGAACATGAAAAAAGTAAGGTCTTCTTTATATCTAATTATAGTGATATTGATCGCATCAAAAATATTTTTAATAATAATTAATAATTTTAAAATCATAACCTCAATCAAGTTCTGTCATTTTTTTGTGATTATTTTTCTTTTTATTATAATTGTTTTGCTTACTTTTCACTCGCTTATGAATTCATATTTCTTTAAACTAATAATTATTACTTTGACATTTAATAAAAAAAATTTTTTTTTCTATCATGGTATATATGTATTAAATAAGGTTATATATACATTAACATCATATTATTACATTTACACTTTTAAAATTATTCTGTTTAAATACTTTTACTCTATCTTATATCTATTATACTATATTTTTATTATATTTATTACATTTCATTCTATAAATTTGTATTTAAATACTTCGTTCAATTCTACCACTTTTTTATTTCAGATTACAGGCTCCAATTATATCATATCTCGGTATTTTATTTTGTTGGAACATAAACTTTATTCTTCTAAAAAGAAAATTCATTTTTTAAATAAACATAAACTTTATTCTACTAATAAATTTCATTTTATAAATGATTCTAATTATAACACTTTAATTTTACCACTATTTCTACAAAGCATATGCCTTGAAATTAAAATTCTTTTATCTGATTTGGTAAGTCCATTTTTAGCACTTTTCCAAAAATTTTTTGAAAAAAAGTGCTTATTAGTTTCACTCTGTCCGTCCGTCCGTCCGTCCGTCCGTCCGTCCGTCCGTCCGTCCGTCCGTCTGTCCGTCCGTCCGTCCGTCCGTCCGTCTGTCCGTGTGTCTGTTTACAAAACTTCTACACCCTTGAAGATAGAAAGCTGAAATTTTATATGTACATAGATCTTTACTAGAAACTTATTTCTGTAGAACAAAATTTTTACCTATCTGCTCCCCTCTAGAAGTTATACCCCCCCAAAACCCTAAAAATGGCCTTTTTTAACTTTTTGTTGCAATGAAACCATAAGCATTTTTGAAATTTTGCAAACGCAAAAAGCAGCGGCTTGCTTCCCCTAGCGCGGCATACTATATTTGAACTTTAGAAAAACAAAATGGCCGTTCAAATTTACCGTTATCTAAAGTCCTTTTTTGCAAATTTTTGATGTCGTTTTTTTTCCAAACTACAGCCTGTAGAAGTTTGAAATTTTAGGAGCTTTTAGACATTATCAAATAGTTCATTTCGCTAGAAGAAAATTTTTTTCCATCTCCACCCCCTCTCAAGTTATCGCCTCTTGAAATTTGTAAAATTTGAATTTTTGACACCTTATATTTCCAAAACCGCAAGCTTTTTCAAATTTCTATTAACGCAAAAAGTTAACGGTAAATTCCATGAAATTAAAAAATATAATTATTTTTCTTAACTCACAAAATTAAACCTTAAAATCGAGCATTATGTTAACCCCACTTTATATTAATTTTTGCTTTATTTCAAAGACTGCATAAATCATTCATCCTAAATATATGCAACCCTAGAAATAGTTTTGTATATGAATGAAAATAATTTTAATAGTGTGATAGGTACATAGACTACATAGACTGTATTTAAAAGCAAAATTTTCATTTGTTGAAGGGAAAAGTGCTACAATACAAACCATTGGTTTGACCCAACTTTATTGAACATTATTTTCAACCATAACATTTTTTCTTTTCGATTTATAAATACTAGGATAATTGCCCTTCAACGATTTCCATTTAACTATATATTTTGCTATAATATTTCTATAAATTCCAATATCAAATATAAATTTCCTAATTCTTATAATTTTATCTTCTATTTCTTACTTTTTTTTTACTATCTCTACAAAATATAATGTATAAAAATGTATATTAAAAGCTACCAATTTGACCTTCTTTGAATT